ACAATACGACAAAGGGAAAGCATAGAGTTCACAATAAGACAAAGGGAAAGCATAGAGTTCACAATACGACAAAGGGAAAGCATAGAGTTCACAATAAGACAAAGGGAAAGCATAGAGTTCACAATACGACAAAGGGAAAGCATAGAGTTCACAATAAGACAAAGGGAGAGCATAGAGTTCACAAAACGACAAAGGGAAAGCATAGAGTTCACAAAACGACAAAGAGAAAGCATAGAGTTCACAATACCACCCTAGGAAGGCTTAGTTTTAATCGTTTCAGTAAAAGTTTTATGTCCTTTGCGACTCAAGTATGTCTTTTAAGCGCTTTAAATTAGATGTGTTACTGACTACAGATTAACATACAAAGAAGAGGGGGAAGAGAGAATAAGGACGATAGATGTTTGATAGGAAAGAAGAAGCAAACCACACCAGAGCACCCGCAAACCACCTACAGAATAGTGTAGAATTCAAAATACGTCGTGAAGAAAGTATAGAATTGAGACTGAGAATTTAATCAAATGCGACTATAGGAATGCTTAGAATTGAAAATACAACATGATGAAAGGGTTGCCTTCAAAATGCGATAAAAGTACGGTGGTGCATCCAAAATGCGGCATAGACCAGGAGCATAATATTGAGGAAGACTTTGAATTTAGAAGACAATAAAAAGAAGGCATAGAATTCGAAACAATACAGAAGGAAGGCTGTGAACAACAAGAGAGCTGGTATGTTCCCTCGCCTGTCAGACTACAGCTCAGAGCAAGCTACTTCTGCAAAAACACCACCATCACCACCAACAACAACAACAATAAAAGCAGCAACAACAACATCAACAATAACAAAAGTACACAAAAACAACAACAACAACAACAGCAGCAACACAAGGAGGGCCACTTACAACACAACAACAAAAGCAACACAACAACAACAACAATAACATCAAAATCAACAACAAAAACAGCAAAATCAACAAAAGAAGAAGCAAATACAACAACAGCAAACACAACAACAACAACAACAACTATAACAACAACAACAACTAACCTGCACCCTGGCCTCCGTCAAGCTACACCGTAGAGCCAGCTGTTCCCGGGAATACACGTCAGGATAGTGCGTCTTCTGGAAAACTCTCTCCATCTCCTCTAGCTGGAAGCTCGTGAACGTCGTTCTATTTCTCCTCTTCTTCCTCTTGGGCTCCCCATCCTCCCCTCCATCCTCCTCCCCGTCTGCATCTCCTCCGTCGTCGGCGTTCTTATCGCCGTCTTTATTTCCGCTTCCATCTACCGCTGCGTTGTCGCTGTTGTTGTTAGTGGTTGTTGTTGTTGTGTTGTTGTTGTTGTTGTTGACGTGGGTAGATGAGTTAACGTTCTGCATCTCCGTCTTCACGTCGTCTCTTTCTGTCTTCAGGCTCATGTTGAGCATTGGTTGGAGATGCGGAGAGAGATTAGGATCAGCTGCGTTGTTGTTGCTGCTGCTGTTGTTGTTGTTGTTGCTACCGTTGTTATTGCTATTGCCGGTATCACCTTTACTGGTAGGACTGTTAAACTTCATACTATTATTGTTGTTGTTGTTGTTGCTGTTACTATTGTTGTTGTTGTTAGTTAGATGCTTATCCGATTTGGGCCCTGAGGTACCATTATGACAGGCGCTGTTGAGGTGCGAACTGCTGTTGTTGTTGTTGATGTTGCTGTTGTTGCTGCTGCTGTTGTTGCTGGTGTTATGAACGTGACCCGTCGTGGTGCCGAGAGAGTTGACCGTTTTCAAAGACGTGCTCATCGGGCTGAGAGAGTGGTAGTATACTCCTTGCTCCCCATGGGGCCTTTGTTTGATACTGTTAGCGCTGCTACTAAGTCCTGTATTATTGTTGCTGTTGTTGCTGTTGTTGTTGTTGTTGTTGTTGTGGCTGTTGCCACCAGGATTATTGCTGAAGTGGACTGGGCTTATGGCGCTCTGTAGATGGTGCGGGTGTGGATGGTTGCCATGGTTACCATGGACGTACCCGGTGTTCAGGGAGCTGGGGTGTAGACCAGGGCTGTCGGACATACCGTAAGAGCTCTCGATGTCTGTGGGAGGACAGGGAGAGGGGGAGAGGGGGAGGCTTTAGTACATATACTGCATGGCAAAATTGAAGACAAACGAGGCAGGGGTAGGCCCAGAGCAACTTACTTAGGGGACCTAAACAAATGGGTAACAGGGAAAGATCAGAGAAACGTAGCTTTTTTTAAGAGCATCCGAGCAAAGAAATGAATGGAGAACCATGATCTCCGATGTTTGTCGCAAATCTGGCACTAGATGGACCTTACGTTTTTGGGTGGTCTTTCCCTTGAATCAACGCATGCCACCTGTCTAACTTGACCGCACCTCACCACCCTCAATCTAGCAGCCCGGCCCACGCAACAACTTAATGTAGGCTACCCCATAAATCTGAGCCCCCATTGCTGCCAAGTGGCCTCTCACCGTCCATCCAGACTGAGCATCTACTGGACCGGCTGACCAGACCCTCTCAAGCCGTCATCAGCACTTGGCCTGGCGTGCGCATGCGCGATAAGACTAACACGCCATGTGCATGATGAAGATCCCCCTACGCCCCCCCCCCCTTCCTCCTCCGACTAATCGTTCACGGCAAATTGCTCAGAATTAGGCAGATTAGATCGTCGTGCTTCCACTGACGACCGGGTGTACTCGTTTGCTCAAATCTGGATAAGGTACTACAGAACAACGAGGCATACTCGTTTGTTCAGATCTGGATATAAGGTACTTTAGAACAACGGGGCATACTCGTTTGTTCAGATCTGGATACGGAATTAGAGTGCAAAGCGAGGCATGCTCGTTTATTCAGATCTGGATAAGATACTTTACTTTAACCTGGCGTATTATATTCATTTGTTCAAATCTGGATAGAAGGTACAACTGTACAACTAGGCGTACTCATTTGTTCAAATCTGAACAAGGCTCAACAGTACAAGGACATATTATTGTTCAAATCGGGTTAACATACTCCGACTCGCTTCTACAGACGATCAGACGTACTCAATTATTCAAAACTAAATAAAGTACTACAACTATACAAACTATTGATTCAGAACAGGGCAATATGCTGTAACCAAACATATTATTCACTTATTCAAAACTGGATAGGACTCTCAGCATGGTAGCTAAGCCTCCGCTTGTTTAGTTTAGTTTTGTTTTGATAAGAGTTTTACAGCACTTGCAACACAGTTAGTTCATATAAGAAAAGTAGAGAAGGTAGTTGAGAATAATAACAAAGACAAGAATGAAGAGAGACAAGGACGATAGATATTTGATGAGAAATAAGGAACAAACAACATCAAAGCACCCGCCTACAGTCGTAAGCTTTTTAATAGCTTCTTTACCCCACTAAACTCTTTCAAAGTCTAGATGTGCTCTGGAAGGCAAAAAGCATTTTTATTCCTAGCGCTTCCTAATATTTCAGTAAATTGTGATGTCGGTCGTTACACTCTTAGTGATAGTTATAATCTATCAGCATTTTTATTATAATATGCTCCTCTTAATATTTCAATAAAGTATGCAGTCGGTCGTTACACTCTCAGTAATGGTTATAGTCTACCAGCTTTTGTACATGCCTAGTTCTCACAACAAATAGATGAATGTGTTTTACCACAGCTGCTAGCATTTTTAAGTCTTTTTGATAGACAAAAAGAAACTAATGTTTAATATATATATATATATATATATATATCTTCTTTTATATATATATATAGATATATAGATAGATAGATAGATATATATATATATATATATATATATATATATATATATATATATATATATATATATTATATATATATAATATATCAGTGATTTCAGCGGCCGTTTAGAAAACTATCTGTAACCCACAGAGGATTTGCAGAGTGTCTGGTTCCTATCACCCCCTCAAGAGTCACATGCAGGAAGCCCAAGTCACTATCATTCCTCGAGCTGGCAGTTGAACCAGACATTGTGGCATGTAGTTATAAATGAGCAGATAACAAGATTAGCCTCGGATTTTATTTGTGGTATCGATGAGAATGGTATCCAATAAGCCTCCCGGGTGTGACTAGATTATGAATAAATTGTGTTCCCATTGATCTAAAGACTATACAAATAATTCACTTGATTCTTTACCGCGGTTGGGGGGGGGTGGTAGGGAGGAGGCAACATGTGTTAAGACTATTTCCGTAATATTTTGTTCAACAAAAAAATATATATTGTTACTACATCAGACGAGGGTGTGGTGACGGAGCAGATAGTGCGCTTGTCTCCGAAGTGGAAAGTGCTGGTTCGAGCCTCGGTTCAGACACGGATTTTTTTCGCCCCCTCCTGCCCACCCAGCAATAATGGGTACCTGACTTCGAGTTGGGGAAGTAAAGGCGGCGTGGAAAGGAATTGGCCGCCCTTCCACAATATGCCGAAGGCCCAGGAAGTTGTCTCACTAACAAGGCAATCCCCAATGTCCGGATCGGATGCGGGAACAACGTTTTACTGTACTACATCAGAAAAAAAACATTAAAATGAAATATAAAAATATTGTTGGTACTTGTCGAATGAAAGAGGTCTGATGCACAAAAATATGTATATTACACAGTACCAAAGATAATGTATAACAAAATTTAGATAGTTCACTGCTCTCTTTGACCCAATTTTTTTTTTAAAATGTCCTCAAAATTCGATGACGCCGTCTTCGAAAAAGCGCGGACTTTGCGAACAGAGTTACCATACTTGTGTGAAAAACAATAAAAGTGAAACTAACAAACTGTGCTATTCATATTCATCTTCTGGAAAAATGGAAGAGAGCTTCAAAACAAGGACTGCAGCGCCATTTGAAGCAATGCGCGGACTTCCACGGACACTTTTTGGGCCGAGTGAACTATTTGTTATGTACGATCTTTGCCAGGTGTGGCTAGATTATGATATAATTATAACTTTTGTTCACATTGATCTATAAGGACTATACGAACAATTCACATGATCCTTGGCCGGGGTTATTATTTTTAACTTTTTTAAACTTTTATTTTTAGATTATTAAATTATTGTTATTACATAAGAAAAAAATAAGAAAAAATAAAAAAAACACTTTGGGTATTTATTGGCGAATGAAAGAGGTCTAATGCACTCAAATATTTAAATAGCACTGTACCCATCTGGTGTGCTGAAAGAGAATCGATGCCAACATCTTTGTTTTCTTTTTTGAAAAGGGCGCAAATTCCAGGGGCCCAAACTGGGCAACGCGTTGTCGGTCGACCGTGTTATAGTGTTCTCAAGTACATTGTTTCTCAAGTCTGGACTAGATCTTTCAACCCACTGGCCTACTCAGCACACACTTCCATCACTCCCCCTAACAGCCATTGCACCGGAAAACTCGTCATTTAAATCTCAATGCCACGTCGTTCGCGTTGCCTGTTTGCCTGTCATGTACCCCGCGTTCACACGGCTGCTGATCGCTAATTCCGACCGCTCATAGCACCCAGCCCCCAACTCAAGGGCTAATAACCCTTCCTACAGCAGCTCTGTTCTCATCTGCCGCCCATCAAATGCCGATTAATGCCGGTCTTCGACAAGCTCTGAAAGTGTGCCCCGCCTTAATCTCGGACTCTTATCAACAGGCGGTGATAGCCCGGGAAATCAAGGATCCTTCATTCCCTCGTGCTGCTCACGGCTCGGAACCGAGGATATTAATATTATGTTGTCGGAGGGGGAGTACAGAGAGAGAGAGAGAGAGAGAGAGAGAGAGAGAGAGAGAGGG